TGTGTAGAGAGAGCACTGCAAAAACATCACCAGACACCACAGTTAATGAAACTCTTCCATGCTCCCGACATCTGCCTGGCTGCTCCCCACAACTCCCCGCCTATTCCCCAAGGCCCCTCCCCAGGCACCGGTTAGGTCTCATTAGCCTCAGTTTTATTACTTCTAAACTGTTTAAGCTCTTGACATTCTCTCTGGGGTCACACACTCCAGACTGGAAAACTCCTGTGTCCAAAGAGGCACTTCAGAACACAGACACTCTCTGGAAGGAGCACAGACTGGTTTGGGCTGGAAAGGACTTTAAGATCATGCAGCTCCAATCCCTGTCATAGGCAGGGACACCTTCCACTAGAGCAGGTTGCTCCAAGCCCCTGTGTCCAACCTGGCCTTGAACACTGCCAGGGATGGGGCAGCCACAGCTTCTCTGGGCACCATGTGCCAGCGCCTCAGCACCCTCACACAAAAATTCAGCCTTTCACCCTGCACCAAAGTGTCAGTGTTTCACTGTTTATGCTGTATCAGACATCATCCTTCCTGTGAGTTTCTTCACCATCAAGACGCACAATGGCAGAGATTTGTGGCTGCCAGAAATACTGTTCGTGGTCATGGGAGGTCCTAATTATTTTCTCTGCAATGCCCAGCAGAATACAATTTTCTCCAGATGTATAAAAACGGGATTTGAAAGCCTCAAGAGCCATGAGATTACTTCCCCCGAGCCCAGAAGTTTCCTATTAAGAACGCTGTTACAAAAGGAAGAAAAAGCCAAATCAGATGCATTCAAGATCAAAACCTCTTTGCACTGAGCCTGGCTGTACTTTTGAGCTAGAAATATATAAACCTTTTTATTTTTCCCTCCTGATAAATACCACATGAAAGATTAGCCAATAAAGTCTTTGTATTTACAGAAACAACCAAGTTTCAGCTTCAACTGCTTCCCTCTAATCATCTCCCTGCATCAGTCTCCAATGGGAAAGCAGCCAAAATAGCTCCACGTATGCTCCTTGCAGGGCTGAGTCGCACCTAAAGCTCTAAGATACGGGAAACAGTTCAGTCTGTATGGTTCCCTGAATAACAAAGTGAAACAAAAGCAAGGATTCATTGTCCCCTGGTCATTGTCTTGGTCATAACCCCTTCAAACCTCCCCCCTCTGCTGTGGATTGGATGTGTTCAGCATGAAGCATAGATTTAAAAAGAAATCTAAATAAATGGGGCTTGTAAAAAAGAAGCTGTAGAAAATCTGCTGCTTTTTGCTTTTCCTTGAAGCCCACCCCAGGTTCTGTTGGTGTTAAAGCACAAACTGTCTCTGGCTTCTGGAGATGGAAGTAAGAGTCATGGCTGCCCACTGCAGAGCCTCACAACGCGTTGTACTCCACGCACTTCGATGGGTCTGTTGGGAAGTGCTTCTGGCAAATGGTCATGAGCCTCTTCAGCCCCTAGGAAGGAACACCACAAGGACAATTCTGTGATAAACCTGCAGCTGTCAAACCAACCTCACAGACGTAAAGCTTAACAAGAAGAATTAAAAAGAAAAGGCTGCTGTTTTGGGGTTGGGTTGGGGGGGTTGTTTGGTTGTTTTATTAAGCTTCCTTCCTCCAAAGTTCCAAGTTATCCCAAATATTAGAGAAGATGGTATGTTCTCAGGTGATGATATTAAGAACTATAGCTGAAGAGAAACCAGAAGTGACATTTGTTCATGTCACAAAGAGTCTCAAAGGGGAAGGGGAAGTTGCTTTTTGCAAGCAATTTGCTTGTGGCCATCTGCAGGAGTCAAAAAGCACCGAGAGTCCTGCTGCTGCAGCAGGAAGATATTTACATAAGCTTCCCCTGCCAGAAACTCTGAGCTCCAAGATGCTGCTCTGGAGGCTTCAGAGTTAAGCCAGGTCTTTATCTCAATGAAACTGCAGCTGGCAAGAGGCAAATACATGTGAAAACACAACAAGAGAAGACTTGTTTCCTCAGACCTGTCCACTTACTGCGTAGAAAGGTCAGAGGAGAAAAGCATCACTGCTACTAATTCCAAACCCAAAGTTCAGGATATGAGTATGAATACGCACAGGAGGAACTGAACCTGAAACTTCTGAGTCCATGCTGTTAAAGAGACATGTTTGAAAAATAAAAGCATTTATCTCCTTGCAGAAATAGTCAGAACTGTATTTCACAGACTAAATAATACATTCCATGCAGTTAAGCAGTGAAGGAGCTCAGGAGAATAAAGCATGTCTTCCCAGCTACTCTGGTGTTCATGTAGGATCACAACAGTTAAAGGGGTAGAAAAACTCATGAGACTCCATTCCCAGCCCAGCACTGAAGAGCCTTCAGGTCCAGGATTAGCTATTACATGGATGTAAAGCTTGACCCAGACTCAAGACCGTTTCTAGGACCTTTTTAACCCATCACCTCAAAGATCCCCTAACTTCAAAAGGGAATCTGCTGGATCTCCAAAGCCAGCCTTACCTGTATGTACTTCCTCTGAGTTTCATCATTGAGAACATGGGCAACATGCTTGGAGAAGATCTTCTCACGACCTGTTCGAGCGTGGATGCCAACCATGGTGACACCAATGGGCCAGGGAGCATTTCCAATGGCCATCTGAAGATAGGCATCATTTGCCTGAAGAAATACAGTGCAGGTACTCTTAGCAAAACAGAAAGCATCAGAAAGCATCCATTGTATTGCTGGATACAGCAACACCACCTATTCCAGTCTCTCTGAACCAGGTCTCTTTGCATGATATTAACCAATTTTACAATACACCTTCCTAACACAAATCACATTTACTCTGAGAGAAGCAAGCACCATGGACCCTACCTCATGGAAGCAAGCACTGGATAAGGCAGTCTAAATGACTGATTTAAAATGCAAGTTTACTGGGACTGTTTTCAACTCAGCTTTCTCATGTTCCCACGAGCTTTCCTGCTGCTACCACCCTTACAACCCTTGGTGTTTCAGTTGCAGACTAGACCAGGGAGCCTGCCTGTAGGCACAACCCATTGCAGACTGATGTTGTGTGCACAGACCTGAGGAGTGCAAGGGGGCCTGAGAGCCCCTGAGGAGAGGAGCTTCCAAAGAGGCTGAGAACCAGCACTCTACCAAACAGGGTTAAACAAGCACACTTGTCACAACATCTATGAACGGAGCAGTAGCAGCAGTAAATCAATCTGAAATTCCCCAATTGAGACAGCAGATCCTGTTTCTAAAGCTTGTAGCACACAGCATCCCTGGGGAAGAGCAGGGATAAAACTTGAAGGGAAAAACAACAGAAAGAAAGAAAGAAAGGAAGAGAAGGACAGAGCTTAAAAGACCCATGACAACTGAGAACCAGGAAGTGAGTGGGACAGACACACATATGCAATTACAGAAGCTTCAGGGAGGACATGGAGCAGGACATTCCTCTACTATTAGCCAGCAGCCACAAGACTCAGTGATAGGGAGTTCATTTACCATCTCCTATTTAAAGAGTAGACAATAAGCAGCAGCAATCGTGACCAGTGCATGCAGCTTCTTCCCAGCTGACACTGGGAGGTGACTAATGAACAAAGCAGAGGGTTGCAGACAGCTGAAAGTAAACCTTTCAGCTAAAAGAAGGGACATGAGGCAGAATCTGAACAGTCTTCATCAAACACTTACTTACTGATTTAAATATAGTTACATGAATGAAACACGTTATGTGAATATGCAATTAAAGACCCTTCCAGGACTGTCACAACAGGGTTCATTAAGGATGAGTGCCCAACTTGCGTCCTGGCATTTGACTGGTGGCAGGTGTTGATTTCAAAGTGTAACTCTTTTGAGCAGTTTATCTAACAAAGCAGTAAGAACTGGTGGCTGAGCATGCACTGGAGTGCACAAAGCAAAACAGCACAGAAGACAACAGCAGGCAATAAGAGGCAAGTTTCTTGGAATGGAAGAGGAATCTTTAGAAGTACAAGGCTCATTAGTCTAATTAAACACCAAACAAATAAAATACTCTGCTCTCGTGAGACCCCACTTGCAGCACTGGGTGCAGCTCTGGTGTCAACGTAAGAAGGACATGGAGCTGCTGGAGCAAGTCCAGAGGAGGCCACGAGGATGATCAGGGGCTGGAGCAGCTCCCGTGTGGAGACAGGCTGAGAGAGCTGGGGCTGTTCAGCCTGGAGAAGAGAAGCTGCGTCGAGACCTCAGAGCAGCTTCCAGTGTCTGAAGGGGGCTACAAGGATGCTGGAGAGGGACTCTTCATCGGAGACTGCAGTGATAGGACAAGGGGTGATGGGTTCAAACTGAAACAGGGGAAGTTCAGGTTGGATATAAGGAAGAAGTTCTTTACTGTGAGGGTGCTGAGGTATTGGAATTGGTTGCCCAGAGAAGTGGCAAATGCTCCATCCCTGGCAGTGTTCAAGGCCAGGTTGGACAGAGCCTTGGGTGACATGGTCTAATGTGAGGTGTCCCTGCCCATGGCAGGGGGTTGGAACTCGATGATTTTAAGGTCCTTTCCAACCCAAACCATTCTGTGATTCTATGATTCTAAAAAACCTCAAAAATTCCAAATGTACACTCAAATCCTCCAAAAATCAGTCTGTGAAGTTTACATAAAGCCAAAGCACTCCCAGGAGAGAAGAGCACAGCTGACTAACCCATGAGATACACCACATTCCCACACACTCATTACTTTGAGGAGGCATTGAAAAGGGAATTTCACCATAATGATGACAACCAAAAGAAAATAAAATGCCCCCAAACAAAACCCCACTATCATACATCCCACACTTTCAGTTCTATTTTCAGATGACTTAGATTAAACTTGCCTTGGGCTATCTGAAGTTATTTTCTGTAGCACAAGCAGGCTCACTTGCTCACTTGACAAATTACCCCAACTCCTCACAAGAGTAATAAGAAATACTAGAAATTTAAAGGCAAAACACAGCTCTGTTTCCTCTGCATACACAAGCTGCTTAAGCAAATGCTATTGGTATTTGAGTTCTGCTTCTGAAGGCAGCTACAAACAAAAGCCAACACTGCCTTTGATCTTGTGTGCCAAAGTGCTTCTGCCTCCTCCACTAAGCAGACTTTGTCCAAAACACTTTTCATTACCATACCTCAACCATACCAGGCCGGCTAACGTGAGCATCGCCAAAGAAAGGGACAGTGTCTCATGATCAATAACTCAGTTTGCCTCAATTAATTCCTAATTAATTCATCAACAGCCTACTCCTATTAATTCAATACCTTCATTTAACCTTCCAATATCAGGTTTCCCACAGAGGATTCCTCTCTGCAATTTAATATAACCATCTCTGAGAAAAATTCTCTTCTCAAAGCTCTGCAGTTTCACCAACCTCAAAAGAACTTCTGACAGGCTGTGGATCAAACACTACTGGAGCCAAACCTTACACAGCCAGTTTCCATTTTGTTTGGATATATGCTTTGTGTATTTCCAGCTATGTACCTTCCAAATGCAAAAAAAGGATGGGAATGTTGGAAGTAATAAACTCCATCTATTAGAACCAGACAGCCTGAACACACTGGAGGAGTGCAAACAAACGTACCTTCACATATTCTCTTTGCAACATGAATTTAATAATATCTGTTATTGATTCTTTGATGTCTGCAGGAAGTGTCTACAGGAGAAAAAGAAGAAGAAAAGACATATTTACCTCAGAATAGCAGCTCAGGAATATCATCCTACTCAGCATTTATACAAAGTTTAGCAACTACCCTAGCTTGAGGACTTCTAACAAAGGAAAACATCTTTGTTATTTAGATGAAGGATCTGAAGGAAGAGAGATTAACTGGTTACACCTAGTAGCTAGTGGCAAAGTGCAGAATACAATCCCAATTCTATCATGTCTGCAGCCCAACAAACAGGTGAGACATTAAGCAACACCTGGAAAAGCAGTGGGTAGGCAGAAGAAGTCACTGATCAAGATAAAAAGGTCAGAACTGGGGAGTCATGGGCTCCAGATGCAGCAACTCTGACAAACTCACTTATCCCCTCTTCCTCAGTGAAGATAACTTTACCTGAGGAAAGGACACTAAATTTGAAAGCAGAAATCTTACAGGATAGTGACATTTAAAAGTGATTCACCCTTTTCCGAAGCTTTCTGAAGAGTGGCCTCAGGTAGGATTCTGTCTGCTTCTGCGTGGCACTGTTCAGCTTCCCCTGCACTCCCCGTTTCACGTAGTCTTCTCTGGCATTCAACTCCTTAGCCCAAACTCCAAGAAGAAACTGTGTGAGGAACACGGACGTTTATGTCAGAGTGCCACCTAGTGACTTCCGCGGCAAAACAGACGGGAACAGTTTAAGCCACCAAGGCAAAAGGAGGTGTTAGGGAGAAACCTGAATTAAGGCAAGAAGCCTCTTTCAGAAGGATACACAAGGAGGGAGATGAACAACCCTCCTATTATAAAAACATATGGGTGAGGGGGGAGCGTGTATAAAAAGGTGTGTACAAAGAAAGAAGTCCCGAGGAAACATGAGTGTAAGTATCAGTGTTGGGAAGGAGGAGGGATACATAAGGGTAGAAATCTTAAGTAGAAGACGCTGATGTTTCAGAGCAGGAGCCTAAGGAATGGTGACGACCACAGTGAAAATTCAACACACCAGAAGGCAAACATGTCACATGCACCTTCTCTCCACCTGGAAAACAATTTTTGAGCCTGCTTTCCCTGCCTGCCTAACACAAACTACACTAAAATGATGACATATCTTACAAACACAAACAAAAGCTCCAACTCTCGCTGTGATTTGTGACCATCACAATAGTTACACAGGGACCAGCTGACTCAAATAAGAGGCAACACAGGCTTCTTGCCAGGAAACAAGGAAACAATTTTCTACTATTCACTTGAACCTGTTTCCTTAGCAAAGCCAGTGGACTTCCTCTAAAATTCTCTTATTTCACATAACAATACCAGGTGACATTCCATTTCAGCTTATGTTGCCCTGTGAGACAGGGAGAGTTTTTAATGTCCTATTAGTACATAGAAGCAACTACATACAAGTGCTTCAATGATCATATGCAAATCAAAACAGCATTTATTTTGTCTGGAGAAAGTAGGACCAGATTTTAAAGAACACTGCTCTCACAACAGCTCTTTCCTAGGTCAAGCAAAAGTCACTATTGTGACTAACCAAAGCTGTGGAGTGCCAAGCATTTAAAAAAGCCCACATCTTAAACGTCATGTGTGAGTTTTTCTCTCCAAGCAGCTGAAACCATCCCTTCTATTCACAACTTATAGCTGTATGATAGTAAAAAGTATGACACAGCTACAGAATAATTAACCTACTAGAGTTTGTTACCTTCAAGAACTTTGTTATGATGTCCATGTCATAGTGATCATCACCCCGACCTAAGGATTCTCCCAAAGCCTAGGAGAGAAGAAAAAAGGTAATTAAAAAGGGGAAGTTCAGGTTAGATATAAGGAAGTTCTTTACAGTGAGGGTGGTGAGGAGCTGGCGCAGGCTGCCCAGAGAAGTGGTAAATGCTCCATCCCTGGCAGTGTTCAAGGCCAGCATGGACAGAGCCTTGGGCAACATGGTCCAGTGTGAGGTGTCCCTGCCCATGGCAGGGGGTTGGAACTGGGTGATCTTAAGGTCCTTTCCAACCCAAATCATTCTGTGATTCTATGAATTATTTCCATGTTGTCTAGAAGTTTGCCACCACCACCACAGCAGAGCAGCATCCACTGCATTGTGAACTGTAACAAAGTCCAGCAGTAACCCAAAAGACGAGTTAGGAAACAGAATGAAACAGCTGTATATGCTCCTGAGATTCATTAATCTATTAAAAACATCACAGTCTAAAAGCCAATATGATTGTTTCTGCAAAGTCACTGCAACAGCAATTTTTCATTCATTAACCACTAACTGACTGGTATCATTAGCAGCTGTTTGACAGCACTGCAGGAAGGGGAACTGTGGGTGCCTGCATTTGCTGAGATCCCCAAAGCCATCAATTAACCTAATTATTTTGTTAAGCTATTCCAATTCTCTGTTGTACTGAGGCTGTTTCCCATTTCATTTAATTGTAACTGTGAAATTGAGTGAGCAAATCTAATAAAACCCCACCAACAAACCACCACAAACCCCCAGTAGCATGCTCCAATACCCAACCTTCCTGTCCACACCTCAAACCTGCTCATACTAAGACTCATTTTGAGAAACACTTCCAGTAGCTATAGTTGGATTTATAATCTATTTCCATTGTCCTCAAAATACCGAAGTGAGTTTTACCTTAAAATCTCCTAGATTTGGAAGCCAATTCAGTGTAAGCCTTTATGTAAGCAGTTAAAGTAGTATAAAATTAAGACTGAAGTGTTTTCAAACAAAAGAAGATGGCTTTCATGGCTCAAACCAAGCCTGCCTCACTATCCCAAAAAGGGGGTATTTTGAGAACTAACAGATGGGTAAAATGCAGTCCCATTACAACTGCTATCAATTCTGGTACTACAGTTATTTTAAACCAGAACCCCTGGTATCCTAACAAAAAAGCCAAACACTATATTCTAACAATAATGCATTCATTTAAGCTTTCCATTATAAATCTGATTACTTCTTAAGCACACTTTCAGAGGCACATTATGAAGATTAACTCCTGCAAAGACTTTTGAAGATTAAAGGTAGAAGTCTGCAGCTCAAGTTAATGTGTTTTTCCAAACTTTACCCTAATATACCAGGTGCTGGATGCACTTCATGGCACTCAGTCTCCACTCACGCTCACAAATACCATGGTGTTCCTTCAGAGCCATTTGCACTGAAGTTTCTGGGACACATGGTCTCTGCACTTACATTTCCTGTGATCTGCCTTCTTCTGATATCCACTTCTTTTTTTTGCCCTGGATGGTTTTATACCAAACATTCTTTCTGTGTGTCTGTTTTTCAGAGTCCCATCTTTCTGGTTTAGGGAAAATTCAGCAGTACTAAGCCTATTACCCTCTCAAATACTCATTGGAAAGGCTTTAGAATTTATGACCAGGTAATGTATTTGTATTAAATTCTCTAATTCCAAACCCTCTGCAGAGAGAATCCTAACTGTATTACTTCCCTTGCAGGCAACTCATATCCCTTTTTGATGAGGTGTTGTAAACAAAGACCACTTGAGTTTTCACATGGATATTGTAGGCACCTATGGTGCAACTCAAAACCATATTTAAGGATATTTCAGAATGCCCAAGTTAGATGCTGAAAACAAGATAACTTTGTCTAAACAATCCTGAAGCTTTCTCACAACAATATACTACATCTAATATCCCTTAATTAAAATCTACCCATCACATACTTCTAGTTCTTCAATAGTAGTGTTCTCCTCATGGACTTTCAAGTCATTCTGTGAGTCATCATCTCCTGCTTCTTGGCCACCTACGATTTCATTCAGATACTGCTGGTCGATCTTATCCAAAGCAGCCTTCAGGTCATTTCTCAGACCCTAGAAAAGTTAAAGAGATAGCTAGTTTACAATAAAGCCCTCAGGGAAATAAAGCACTTCAGTACTGTCACTGTGAGCATCCAACTTCTGTTTAAGAAAAGCCATATCCTGTAAAAACACGCCTAAGGGTTTAGCTTTGTGGTCTGAATTTAAACTGAATTCAAAGACCAGTTTCTGGATTGCTTCAGCACTTCACAAAAAGCAGGTGCATGAACTTCTGCGATGTTCAGACCTGTAAAAAAAGACTTTCAAAAACACGGAGGTCTAAGTCAACACCTAGGACTTTCTTCAAGACATGTACCCCAAGCAATGCACCGACCCACCCTCAAACAAACAGAAAACAGACCATTACCCTCACCAGTTCTACAAGTCTTCCCCATCTGCCTTGAAAAAAGCTGTAAATAAGGTAAGTAACACTCCCTCAGTATTATCATATAAAACATTTATGTAGCTTCCCTTTATTACTGATAATTTAAATATAGCAGCATGTTTCATATAGATTAAGTGTTTAAAATCCCCTAGTTTTTAGGTAGTTAAAAAATAGAATCAGTTTAAAACCACATATCTAAAGTTCAGAGCTGCTTTTAAATCGAGCAAGACTTGGCTTAGTCACAGTTAAAGGACATGCATTCTTATCTTGAGACATAAAATATAAAAGAGTATGACATTTCTTACCCTAAGATAAATTCAGCCACTCCACTGGGAATAGCTCTGCACAGTTATTTCCCTTCTTCCATCATCAGACTTGACTGTCTGGAGTGGTTTTATTAATCATTTAGTAGACTAAAAATGTCTGAACCACAAACGGTTATAGTGACTATCTACATTTAAGCAACACATTGTGGCTGAAACACATAACACAAAAATCCAACACAATCCTATTTATGAGCTCACTATTTCTTAATACTCCTCCTACTGTCATCGCTGTCACTGGAAGGGCAGCTTGCATTAGTAGGATTATTTTTATGTCAACATTTACATCCGTTTATCTTTATTTAAGACTTGAACAGGAAAACCCTTTCCTTGTATGGGCAGCCCCAGCAAAAACGTTTCCAACAATTCAGTTTGCCATAAATTAGGGAAGAAAATCCCAACTGTCGTTCTTCTAGCTGGGTTGCAAACTTGCTTAACAGTGAATGCAAACCAAACCTCAATTGCATCTCCTCATTTAACTGATCTATTAAGACAAAAGGAATACATAGGTAAACTAGGCTATCTTTTAGTAATTTTTTTATTTGATTGCTCCTTTAAAGGGAAGGGGAGAAAATGAAGTTTCCATAACAAGTTTTTGACGAAAAATCATTCATATACTAAAAGACAGGATGCTCTTCCTTACCTCTACCTTCTCAGAGATGCATATAATCACCAACACAGGACAGTTTTAACAGTAAATGACTGTCTCGACTGGTTAAAAGCAGGTTAACAGCACAGGCTGGTCTATTACTGCCACCCAGAGGCCCCTTCTTCAACTGAAAAGGGCCTAAAAGGTTTCTAAGGTTGAACTCTTAACTAAGGAATTGCATTTGTGAATAAACCAATGACATTTAGCATGCTTTCTCAGGCAATAAATGAGAGAGAGCAGGTATTTCTCTTCGCTCTTTACTTCACCTCCCTCCTGAAAATTATCAGTTACTGAAACTGATTCTCAGTAACTTTTACAGGGCTCCTCATTGGTTATCCCACTAAAAATAAGTAAGTAATAAATAACAAGCAAGTCTTACCTTGTTCACTTCAGGTGCAAGAATTTCTATCTTCCTCAGGCGCTGAAATGCATCATAGTCTGTTTCACCAAACAGCCTGATGGGCTCACCTCTCTCTCGTAACCTCCTGATAACCTGAGAAGAATCAAAGCATTCCCTTACTCAAACTCATAGAGGAAGCAAAATACAATCCAGAATGACTGATTTATTTGCTTTGCTTAGAATAACAAGCTGAGCTGGGCTGCAGAGGAAATGGCAATATTTTAAGCAGTAGAAAAATGTTCCAGACACTTTACAATCTAAATATAAAATTCCCACAGTATTTCAGGGAAAGGTCATTCAAAATATTACCAGTCTAAATTTTGCCTAAAATCCCAGGCTGTTTGATATAGCCTAACTTCTTCCTGCTCTGACTTGTTTAAACAAATACACAAAATCATCCCTCTGGCAGAGCTTACAAACTGTTCTCAAAATCGCCAAGGAACTTGACAATAATCTCACTCACCCACTTGTAGAGGGCAATAAAACCACTCTGTAACCAGGGTGCAAGTTGTCCCAGCACACCTGCAAGATGATTTCCTAAAAGCTCTCATTCTGAAGTAGAGACCTTATGGATGTCCGATCCCTGGCAGTGTTCAAGGCCAGGTTGGACACAGGGGCTTGGAGCAACCTGCTCTAGTGGAAGGTGTCCCTGTCCGTGGCAGGGGGTTGGAACTGGATGAGCTTTAAGGTTCCTTCCAAACAAAAACATTCTATGATTTGACAAATATTAAGTCCCATAATCTAATGAGACAATTACTTTAAAAGTAGATATAACAGAGGTGAAAAAGCCTCTGCAAAGTCACGGGCAGAGCCAAAAACTGAACTTCATTCTCCTGATTCCTTATCTTACACATTGCTGCTAAATCTCTTTATAATTCATTTAGTGTACCAAGCAACAGGCTTACCGATATATCACAAAACTAAGGGTGGAGAGACTGCTGGCAGACTAAAATATCCACCCAAGTAGCTCAATAGCAGTGAGAGAGTGTGCATTACACAGGACATAGACACCAAGCCTCAAACCAAGCATGAAACCAACAGCCCACATTACAAATCCTATGATATACTCCTGGAAAAAGCAGCAAAATTGAGGGGACATGTGACATCCTTGGATTATCTCAGCTGTGAATTTCAGTATTTCCAATTAGGATTTATTCTGCGCTCCTGAGTTTCCTGCTTCTCCTCTGCTTTTGGGTATAGAACTCTTTGTGAACTCACATTCACACAGGTATTTTTAAGCTTGGAAAAAAAACCCAAAGAACACACCAGCTCTGCATACAGGAATATTTTGTCTAGAAATCAAGGTGAACTTCCAAAACTTGGTTTCTAAATTTAGGTTCAGATCAACAAAGAAAAAGAAGCTGGAAGGGGGCCTTGGAAAAAGTCGGTATGCCATCCTCAGAATTATTCAAGGAATATAGTGATATTTAGGGTCTAATCCAGAAGTCATCTGAAAGAGCTGTAAAATGTTATAGCACATCTGTGCATATCCATATGACAAAGAGGCTCTAACCATCTGTACCTCCATATGCATTCAATCGGACACAGATCCTTGATAAGTGAAGATGATCATTAATTGAGACATTGTTTAATACAGCTGCCATAAGAAGTACAGTTCACTGGAAAAAACAGCCCTAATAAGAGATTTCAGATGCCCTTGCTGTAAAATCAAGTAGTCTGTGATGAGTGATGTTACCTCCTGTCTGGAAAGGGTCATTGGTAACTTTTCTTCTGCCAGTTCAAGTTCCAGCACTGGATTTGATGCAGTCAGGGGTTTCTCTTCCTCTTCTTCCTGCTGTACCTACATTCAACAGACAGTTACTAAGGTGCTAATGCAAATAAACCTATGTATTACTAGCAATGTAAAGACACAGAACTCTGGAACACAGATTTTAATCTAACAATATAAACCTTTAGTTTCATAGTTTTTGTTGACTATCACAGAACAATAAAAGCTTTTAAAAGTATCAGTAATAAACTAACACTTCTGCAGGTTGCAGGAAGCAGTCTCTAGAGCAAATGGAAAGGACAATTGCTAAAGTTTGCCAACCGCTTTAGCAGGCAGATGTCAGCACTGGTGCCAAAAATAGCAAATCCACCCTTTGCCTGTTGTTTCCTGCCCCTGCTCTTTCCTCCTCACCCATGCAAAAGCATTTGCATCGCTATGTGATGAACCAGGTGGGGAAAATGATTCAAACAGAAAATAACCTGGCAAACACAAAGAAAGGACCCTTCCCAGCCCACTTAGCTCCTCATCCAGCTCACCAGGCATAGCACATGCATTGATACAAGGACAGAAATGAAAACCCAAGGGCAGGGAGAGAGTGGGGCTGCTTCTTTTGCTGGTAGTGAAAGCTTAAAACATTTATTATCCATAGCTTCAGTGAGGGAAGTGCTATTAGCAGTGATCCATGGCTTCTTCAGGTTTAAGGTAACAACATCTTTCCAACAAACCTGTCATAGTTTCTTATGGGTTAAAAGAAAAGACGGGGAAAAAAGACACCTACAACTCCTCATAGGGATAGGATCTCATTAGCAACTCCTCTTAATCTAAAAGCAGGTCCCTGAATCAAACAGAACCTTCCTTCTTCATTACTCCGTATTTTAATAATGCAAACCACCTCTGTGATCAAAGGAACTTTGAGACAGCAGTCATGTAACTACAGTTCCCTTTGTAAGCTCAAGTGTGACACTTCTGACAGCATGAGCAGACTACTTTTGGTAGTATTTCTGTAAGAAGGAAACATTTCCAGTACTCACTCACATCTTGGTTTTTTCCTAGATTCCTTAGTAGAATTTATTTCCTTTCTGTATTTGCTAAAAGGGAAACACTTCACTTAATCCTACAGCACCCTGCAGCATCATCCTTGTGTGGGCAGCACACTGTCACTCCCAGTCTGCATTCAGGCTGATCAGTTTGATGAAGGTACTAGACATGACCTGGTTTTAAAGAAGCTTTTCTATTCTTTCGGGACAATATGCCTATCTTGCACGCAGGTGTCAGCAAGACTCCATGTGGCTGTAAGGATCCACCCCTGTGGCACCAGCTACAAGATTCAGCCACAAATCCATATTCAAAGCTATACCAGCAAACACAGAAATCAATCCTACAACGACAGTTGTTTCTCCAGACAAGGGAAGGACAACCCAATCAATGCTTAACACAAAGGGAGGGGAAAAAGAAAACTTCAACCAATGCAGGAATGGAGGAATTGGTGGGGGAGAGAAAATAAGGAAGAACTGTGTAAATATATATAGGTATAAAGAAGTACACTCCCATGGCAGAAGGATATGTACAAAGTTTAACTTACAAACAGTCTGGAAATCATAAAGAGACAGCAGCATTGAGGGAAAAGATTTGATCCATATTCTGTCAGCTAGACTCCAAGTGATATCTTTACCAGTTATTTTTGTTTCAGTGCTTTCTTCAAGCAAGTCAAATCATTACAATTTATTAAGTCTAAGCAAAGCAAAATAGCTCCTGAATTGAAAAAGAAATCAGTCTGTATTCTACATGTCATGAAGATTGCAAAGATCAAATGCAGAAATCTGGGAGGCTCTGAAAAGGAACTAAACTAAACAAAGCAACTTATTTTAAAACCATCTGCAGGGTCACATTTCAAACCAAATGTGGTGCTGCTGCAGCACAGACAGCACCATTTGAACAACCATGGAAGGTTCTGAAGGATTCAAGCCAATGCTCAGAAAGCATCATGGAGCATTTCCACTTGGGAGAGCGACTGGATTCACAGAACACTTTCTCATGACTATATGCTGTACGTTCCAAGAATCATTTTGGCTTTGATGTTCAAATATTATACAAACAGATCAAGGTTTCAGAATAAGTCACTAACTGGGTAAAGTTCAGCTGAAAACAAAGCTCCTGTTTGTGCCCAGTAACAGCAAACAAGATTACGAGCCTCTATCTTCCCCAAGGGAATGCATCCCCCCTCCCATACATGAATAATCAGGCAGCAGGCAGACACACACACTGGTAAATGAAAACAAACATTCTTTCCAGTTCAGGACACTACTGCCCTGATACCATCACAAGGCAGATAAAGCCTTCCAGATCACTCATTTGTTGCAAAATGCACCCTGGGTTACCAATTGTTGTCTAATATTTTGCCAGCAAGACAGTAAATGTTGCTGTTGCACAGCTGCAGTGCTGGATGGTTGATGGCCAAAACCCAAATACAAATCTACACAGTAGGAAAGTTGGCAGATCTTTTCAGTGTGCACCCACACTCTACTGATTTCTTTTGGACATTTGACAAGACTGTGAAAATTGTCTGAATGGATAAAATTATCCAAAGATATTTTTTTCCTGATAAGGGAGCAGGGAGAGGGGGGAAGGCGACTGTATCAGATCCAGTGTTCATGCCTAACAGCACAGTTTAAAAAGAAAGGAAGACAAGCTTTGATCCCAAGCCACATCATGCTTTCCACAAAAATAAAGAAAAGAAAGAAAAGCCAAACCATAACACAAACTTAAGTTGCTGTATATCATGCATATCTTTTCCTGCATTGAAAACGGGTTTGGAAACTCATACCTCTCCAGGTGGCTTCTCATTTACTGGCTAATGAATACCATTAACAGATTGAACAAAGAACAACAATTATCATTAACAACATTTATACTGTTGATAATCAAATGTTAGACTTCAAAGTAACCATGCAAACTCCTGGAAGAGCAGCTGCCATACCTTGTAGCCACATCTCTGGAAATAGGCCTCCTCTTCTTTTTTAGCTAACTCACTGCGTTTGAAATATTTCTTACTTCCCTAAAAGAGAGGAAAGCTGTTAACAATTTACAGTTTCACCTCCTTGGGCAAAAATGGCTCAAACTTCCTTACTTGAGTTGGTGAATTCAGCTACATCCTTTCAGAGAGATGGCTACATTGTCATCTAAAGGGGACTAGTTGGAAGCATCTCTGAAAATCAGCAATATAGAGTGACTTTGCAGCACAGATGGATAAGCAGAGTTAAAAGCACAATGTGTCACCAGCCCTTTAACAAACCACATATTTTGTCACGTAAGGCGATCAGCGTAAAACTTCAGGTATGAAACGCAAGGCCCATGCTGGAGCACAGCAAACTTGTTTAAGTAAACCATACAAAACATGTAATTTTACATTAAATTAAGGAGGTGGAAGAAACCACCTTTCTGCAAAGCATGTTGTAAGCTTGCTTGGTGCACCAAGCACACAGAAATGTGTTTGGTGAGAGCTCCCAGACACACAACAGCTGGCAACTGAGCTCACCCCAAAGCATTTCCTTTGATTGACATAGAACCATAGAATGGTTTGGGTTGGAAAGAAACTTAAGGTCACCCAGTTCCAACCTCCTGCCATGGGCAGGGACACCTCGCACTAAACCATGTCACCCAAGGCTCTGTCCAACCTGGTCTTGAACACTGCCAGGGATGGGACATTCACAACTTCCTTGGGCAACCTATTCCAGTGCCTCAGCACCCTTACTGTAAAGAACTTTCTCCTTATGTCTAACCCGAATCTCCCCTCTTTAAGTTTACACCCATCCCCCCTTGTCCTATTGCTCCAGTCCCTGATGAATGATGCCAGCATCCTTGTAGCCCCCTTCAGACACTGGGAGCTGCCCTGAGGTCTCCACACAGCTTCTCTTCTCCAGGCTGACAAGCCCCACATTTCCAGCATCCTTGTAGCCCCCTTCAGACACTGGGAGCTGCCCTGAGGTCTCCACACAGCTTCTCTTCTCCAGGCTGAACAGCCCCAACTTTCTCAGCCTGTCTTCGCAGCTAGGGAGGTGCCCCGGCTCTTCCTTCATACTTTGCCTGCAAAAGCCTCCAACCACAGCTCCCTACTTCAACCACGAATGCCAAAACCTAAACGAGGACATCCATGAAAGCACTCTGCTGTACTGTGGGTGTTTTCAGCTAACACACTTGGCACACACACCCCTCTGTCACTGACTATTGCTACGCACAGAACACAGCAGTAGAGAGGAAAGGGAACCACACTTTGTTCAACAAAGATCACACAGACTTTTCTCATTTCTCAGTGCCTGAATCACAGACTGGTTTACATCGGAAAGGACCTTAAAGATCATATAGTTCCAACCCCCCTGCTGTGGGCAGGGACACCTTCCACTAGAGCAGGTGGCTCCAAGCCCCTGTGTCCAGTCTGGCCTTGAACACTGCCAGGGATGGGGCAGTGTCCTCTTCATGTCCTCTTACGTTCTGAACACATCCATACCAATGCTTTGCCACCCGCCCTATGTTTAAGGGTGATTTTTGCCCAGCTGCACCAATAACTAACTAAGCAATCTCCAAAAGGCAAAGGCACACAGCAGGGCCATACAGCAAGGTCCAGGCACCCCCGAACTTCTCCCGACCCCTTCCCCGCACCATCCTGGGCCGCTCCTGCTCCTCGTCCCCAAACCCCGCCCAGGGCCGTTCGCGACACCCCCCCAAACCTCTTCCTGATCCCCCCAAACCCCTTCCTGGCC